CAGCTAGTCACCAGGCTGGCCACACCATCATGGGGTGAGGGTCCCCACTGGGGGCCTTGGCCACCTTCAAACAGCTGTCAGTCACTCACCCAGGCTGGCCAGGCACCCCAACGGGACCCCCCACCCTGATCCAGGACACCCTTCAGGGCAAGCCAGCCAGCCCCCACCCGTGCACCAGGCTTCTATCCTATATAATAAAAGGGTGATATGCAAATTGACCCTAATAGCAGAACGACTGGGAATGACTGGTCACTATGACACACACTGACCACCAGAGGGCAGATGCTCAATGCAGGAGCTTCGCCCTGGTTGTTGGCGTCCTCCCACAAGGGGAGTTCTGCTCAGCCACAAGACAGGCTTATGGCTGCCAGTACAGCGGTGGTGGTGGGAGCATCTCCGGCCTCCTCAGCAGTGCTAAGGATGTCCGACTGCAGCTTAGGCCTGCTCCCTGCTGGCAAGTGAACATCCCCCAAGTGCTCCCGGGCTGCCAGAGGGATGTCTGACTGCTAGCTTAGGCCCAATTTCCCGGGAAGCGGGCCTAAGTCAGCAGGTGGTCATCCCCCAAGGGATCCCAGACTGCGAGAGGGCACAGGCCGGGTTGAGGGGTTCCCCCCTCCCCCGAGTGCACAAATTTTTGTGCACCAGGCCTCTAGTATTATATAATAAATCATATACACATATAATACATAGTAGTATATACTATTTTATGTATAAGTTATATAAATATATTTTATGTTATATAATTATTATATATAATTATTGTAGCACTATATATTATATCTATATCTATTTATGTAGTTGACCTTTGAACAGCACAAGTTTGAACTGCACAGGTCTGCCTATATGCTGATCTTTTTGATCATGCCCTGTACTGGGGATCAAGCCTGCTCCCTGTGCCCTGACTGGGAATTGAACCATGACATCCTGGTTCATAGGTCAATGTTTAACAATTGAGCCATACTAGTTGGGCTGAAATTGTATTTCTAAGTTTAAAATAAAGTTTAAGTAAACACTCTGGGTAGCGATGAAGGAAGGTGAGTGATCTTTGGTACAGTAGAGTTGGTGGTTCTATAAGATCCAGGGCTAAGAAGGGCCTGTGGGTAGGAGGCGTTGGAGGATGGTGGAGCAGAAGTGGGAACCCACCAAGGGGAGACAAGGCTGCAGAGAAGGAAGCTGGAAGGCAGGGAACATCACCCTCACCTACCTCTCTGCTGAGCACAGACCAGCTTCTATGGCGGCAGGAGCTTTTCCTGGAAGAACCTGTGAGGAGTGGCCATGAGCTTTCTCAAGGAATGACAAACAATAAGAAAGAAACAAGAAGGCCTGGCAGCAGCCTCCACAGCACGTCTTGGTATTTCGGCAGCCGTATTTCTCCCTCCAAAGTTCCGTAATAATGGTTAACTGTGACTGGCTGCATTCTAACAAATGCCCCTGAGTGAATGGAAAGAAGCTGTTTCTATTAGTAAAGGGTTGTGGTGTGACTGTAACTAATGTTATCATGGGAATTCGTGGGGCTTTAATCAATCTTGTTATGATTAGACATATGCCACATATCTATCCCCTATTGTTTTGTTGATGGTGGTGGTGGTTTTTTCTTCTCTTTTTTTTTTTTTTTTTTTTGGTTTTGGTTTTCTTTGTTTGTTTTTGTCAAAAATCTGTCTCTCCCCCTGACCCTTTGTTGAGGACTTGCCTTGCGTGGGCTGAGCTCCTGCTCCACTTAAGGGCCTCCTTAGATGACCTTTTCCTTCTGGTTGTGATAAGCTCTCCTTTCCTTCTTTCCTGAGACTGAAATGTGGTAACAACCCCAATGCTGCTGGCCTAGGGTGTTGCATTGTACCTTCATATTGGCTTTTCCTTCTACTTTGTAACAAATCTTTTGTAAATAAGCCCTCCAAGAATTACCCTAATTTGAATGTGCTACCTGTTTTCTGTTGGGACTCAGAGATAAACCCCTCTTACCCATCTGTACTGTCCAATGTGGGAGTCACTAGCCACATGTGGTGTTGAGCACTGAAATGTAGCTAGTCCCAACAAAGAAGTGCTGGAAGGCCCTAACCAGTTTGGCTCAATGGATAGAGCATCAGCAGGTGGACTGAGGGGTCACAGGTTCAATTCTGGTCAAGGGCATGTGCCTTGGTTGCTGGCTCGATCCCTGGTGGGGGGTGTGCAGGAGGCAGCTGATTGATGTTTCTCTCTCGTTGATGTTTCTAACTCTATATCCCTCTCCCTTCCTCTCTGTAAAAATCAATAAGATATATTTGAAAGAAGAGCTGGAAACGTGATGTTGAATACTTGGTATGAAAAGAAAGAACGTAAATGACGTCAATTATTTTTATATTGACTACATATAAAAATCACACGTTTAGGTGTAGTAGATCTATTACTAAGTTTAATTTCACCTGCTTCTCTTTACCTTTTTAAAGGTGGGTTAGATATAATGTATCTATATGTAAAGATAGCTGCCTCCTGCACGCCCCCTACTGGGGATGGAGCCCGAAACACAGGCATGTGCCCTGACCTGGAATCTACCATGACCTCCTGGTTAATAGGTCTATGCTCAACAACCGAGCCACACCCACTGGGCTGTAGCTCATATTTATTTCTAACTAGAGGCCTGGTGCACGAAATTCATGCATGGGCAGTCCCCTCAGCCCAGCCTGCACCCTCTCCAATCTAGGGCCCCTTGGGGGATGTCAGACTGCCGGATTAGGCCTGATTGGGCCTAAACCAGCAGTTGGACATCCCTCTCAGAATCTTGGACTGCTGGCTCCTAATCACTCACCTGCTTGCTTTCCTGGTTGCCCCTAACTGCCCCCCCTGCCAGCCTGATCGCCACCAACTACCCCCCCGCCCCCCCGCCAGCCTGGTTGCCCCTAACTGCCTTCCCCTGTTGGCCTGGTCACCTGTTACTGCCCCCCTGCCAGCCTGGTTGCCCCCAACTGCCACCTTCTGCAGGCCTGGTTACCCCTCATGGCCCTCCCACTGGCCTGGTTACCCCACGCAGCCTGCATACAGTCCTTTGGTCATCCCTCACTAACCCCCCTGTCGGACTGGTCACCCCATGCAGCCTGCTTGTTCAGTCGTTTGGTTGCCCCTCACTAGCCTCCCCACCTGCCTGGTTGCCCCATACAGCCATCTTGTGAGGGTGTGAGGGTTAATTTGCATATTACCTCTTTATTATATAGGATGTACAGCGAGACCCTGGATATCTAGTGAGTGGTCCCCAAAACGCACATCTCTCCTACATAATGTGTATTTCTAACACCCACATGGAGGAATCACCTGTGCTGGAAATGTGAAAGCAGAAACACAATATCCCACCATGTGGGAGCTGGGAGGGGGCTTGGAAGCCATCGTTTTCAGGAGGAGAAAAGCTAGACATGTTTGTAAGCACTTGCCGGACTGCAAATGTTTCAGAATAACTTTAAAATGGTCTGATTTTTTTGTTGTTCGTTTTTCTTCTGGAACGCAGACTGAAATACCTAGAGGAAAAACTTTAAAATACACTAAATCTCAAGTTAGTATTAAACCTCAACTGGTTTGTCGATATCCAATTTTAGCACACAACGAGGCATTAAAACTTGGCAGGATTTGTTTGTTATCCTTGTAAAAGCCCACTGCTTTATGGCATCAGAACGTAATAAGCTCTTCGCTGGCTTGTGGAAGAGGCTGGGATGGGTGCTTCATGAACATAAAACTACTCACGTCCAGCACTGCGCATTTATCTATCCAGCGGGCACACGCAGCCACTTTTCCCAGCACAGCTACAACCACTCCGGTCCCTTTGGAAGGTTAAAATGGACTTTCCTGACTGCCACTTCCAAGGCCATACAGAGCTCAGCCCAGGGGAAGGGCGCACAGTCCCAACACTGGGCAGCAGGAGTCCCCCAAGTTTCCTGCCACGCTGATGCGCCTGCTGTGGGCCCTGGTCAGCACCCAGGCCGGCCCAGGCTGCCTCAGCCACTTACAGGGACTGGTGTGCCAGCCAGGCTACCGCCCACATTGTGGGGCGTCCTGCTGAGAGGAGGAAGCCAAGAAATCAGGAACAAATCGGGTTGGAATAAAGACCTGCCTCATGCAGGTTCCATGGCCCACCTCCCTCCATTAAACTGCGGGGCGATTTGTAGCCCTTCCTGACCTGATCTCCCAGGGGCGCAAGGAGAGGATGTGGGGTCACGGGAGGCAAGAGAGGGGAAATCGCCATTTATGAAAGGACATTTAACTCCTTCACACACACACACACACACACACACACACACACACACACACACACCATTTAAAAAAAAATCCATCATCAAAAACTGGGCATATGAATTTGGAATCGAAGTTGATGTATTTTTTTAATCTTAATTTCTCCTCTTGATTTATTGGCTTCTCTCCTAAGAGGTAGTTCCTTTCTAGGTCGGGGAACTCCTGATCATCCTAAATTAACAGAAGCGAGAACAATCAAAAGGAGAAACAACTACAAACACAGCCGCAGGGAGACCAGCCAGGGCCTCCGCACCTAAGAGGTGCGCGCGGAGTCGCCGCGGAGGGCGCGGAGGGATCCCGCCCGCTGGGGACACAGGGGCGCAGCGCGCAGCAGCGCTGGGACTGCGCTGCAAAACTTCGGAGGGTTCAGGGAGGAGCGGGCGGGGCGCGGGAGGACAGCGCGACCAGGCGGGCGGGAGAGGGGCGCCGGCGACTCGGACGGGGTCAGTGCTGCGAAGGGCTGAGCCGAGCCGGAGGCGTTGGGAACCCCTAATCCAAGGAGTGTCCGCCGGTGGAAGTCAGACTCGGGGATCTGGCGGCTCTGGCCGCCAGTCCGACGTCCCGGCGGCCGCCGCCTCCAGCTCCAGGGAGAGGGGCGCGGCCGCCAGCGGGGGAGGGAGGGACAGCGGCGAGGAGAAGGGGCGTCTCCCTGGCCGCCCCCGCCTTCTCCGATGTCATTGGGCTGCGGCTGCGGGGTCCGCGCCACCTTTTCTCGATCCCACCCGGCCGGTCCTGGGGCTGGTCGGGCCCACCGTTGACGTCACCTCCAAGTTTGCTGCCCTGGGCGCCCCACGTGTGGCGGCAGCGGCTGCCCGGGAGGCCGGAGGGAGCGCCTGCGAGCAGCGGCCGCGGCGCTGACAGGTCCCTCTCAGCCCGACCGGCCGCGCGGCTCCCAGGTAGGGCGCCCGCGCCGTTGGGAGCCGCCGGGGGAGCCCCGAGAGGGGCGGACTGCGGGGTGCGGGCCTCGGGGGACCTCGCACCAGGTCCCTAGGAAGCGGAGACCGGGACGCGGGGCCGGGAGGCACTGTCGCTAACCGCGGTCTGGAGCGCACGGAGCTCAGCGGCACCGCAGCAGCAGCAGCGCGTCTCCAAGGGACGGAGCGAGGGATGCCCGGCCGCTGAGCGGAGATCGGGGCCGAGTGCCGCCCGGGCCGGGCTAAGACGCGTCCTCGCCACCGCCGCGGAGACCCCCCTTTTCCGCGACTCTGAGAACTGGGCGCCGAAACCTGCCGCCAGGCTCCGGACTTGGCGAGTCTCAGACGATGGTCTCTTAAGCACCGCACCGCGTCTCCCGTCCCGCCCCCGACCCGAGGCAGGGCTCCCGCGCCGGCTCCCGGGGCCCGGCTCCCCAGCAGGGGGGCAGCTCCCGGAGGATGTCCTGGCACCCGGAGGAGTCCCGGCCTAGCATGGCCCGCGCGCTCCCCGACGTCGCCTCCGGCTAGGATGGCCCCTCCGGGCCTGGCTGGCGCGCACCCCGCCCCGGCCGATCCGCTGTCCCGCAGCATCTTCCGGAAGTTCTTGCTGATGCTCTGCTCCCTGCTCACGTCCCTGTACGTCTTCTACTGCCTGGCCGAGCGCTGCCGGACCCTGTCGGGCCCCGTCATGGGGTTGTCGATTGGCGAGGAGGCGCGCGCCCCGGGTCGCGGCGCCCTGGCCGGAGGCCCCCGGGAGCTGGCGGCGTGGCCCTGGGCGCAGAGAACGCGCCTTTGGCAGCTGCGGCCGTGGCGGAGGCGCCCGCGGCCCCCGGGGCGCGACGGCGGCGAGGAGGCGGCCTGGGAGGAGGAGACCCCCAGCCTGGCCGGGAGTCCCGGGGGCTCCGGGGCCGGGAGCAGCGTGGCTGAGCCCCCGCCGGGGACCCTGGCGCTGCTGCTGGACGAGGGCAGCAAGCAGCTGCCGCAGGCCATCATCATCGGAGTGAAGAAGGGCGGCACGCGGGCGCTGCTCGAGTTCCTGCGCGTGCACCCCGACGTGCGCGCTGTGGGCGCCGAGCCCCACTTCTTCGACCGCAGCTACGACAAGGGCCTCGCCTGGTACCGGTGAGCTGGCGCGGGGCCCTGGCGGGCGGCAGAGCGCTGGCGTGTTTGGGGAGGCAGTGGAGGGAGGGCTCTAAAGAGCCCATGTTGACCCCCCATTCACCTCCCTCCCCATTTCAGGAAGAAGGCAACAGGTCCTCAGTCATTGTCCTTAACTCGCGGGGCGCCTTCCTTTTACCAGGAGAGAGGGTGATACCCACTTTGCAGGTGGGTGGGTGGGAAACTTGGGCCTTCAGGGTTTTTTCCTTAGTCCTCGGGATTCCCTTTCCCCCAAATAGCCGATCTCATCTTTTCCTCCTGCTCTGTGAGAGGATGTTTGTTAGCTAAAGAAGAAAGAAATCTCACACAAGCTAGACCCTGTTTATCAATTATTGGGTGGACACCCCTCTCCGGAGGAAGCCTGTTTCTACTTCTCCGTTCCCTCCTGGGCAATTCCCTGTGATAAATGCAGTCTTGGCCGCCATGGATTTATTCACCTTGACCCCCAGAGACTTGTTCTAGGTGGTAATATAGAAACTTCATAAAAGTGTCAAGAATCAGAGTCCAGGAAGTTGGGAAAAATATGTTGGAGCAGGTGCCAGCAACGGGTCACTGTGCTTCAAAGAAGGCGTCCTTGGTAGTAACTTTTGTTTGGGGCGAGGAATGAGTTTTGCCCGGTGCTATCTATATTTATAAAGGAGAGTAAGTGCCCTTTGTCTCTGGCTTGGCAGAAACTTTTCCAGAAACTTTTCCAGAGTGCTTCAGACAATTCTTTTTAGAAATTAGGTAGTCAATTAAAAAACAAACAAACAAGAAAACAAACAAAAAAAAGGAAGAAAAGAGCAAAATATGAGGACTCTGGTTATATGGTGAAAAACCCTCCTAGTGCAGTTTAGGAAACAAGTCTGATTTAGATCTTAATCTTAAATGTAGCAGTCCTCTCAGATTCTGCCCACTTTTAATAATAGAATCAGCCAAACTCTAATAAATCCTGGTGTCACCTGGACTTTGTTTGCCATAAAATACTGGCCTTTTTCTTTACTCCGAGAACAAGGAAAAATCATGTCGCCAGGACTTTCCATTCCACAGTTGTAGCTTGTTCATTAAATGTGCAGTCTCCTTGTCATTTTAACAGAAACAGTATTACAAAGGTTACAACACAATTTAAATATATATCAAAAGCCCACTAAATCAACCATGCATCCCCCGAACAGAAATGGACATGATTTGACAAGTTTATTTACATGAGGGGTCAGACACACTCTCAGATAGCTTTCAGGAGCTGAATTTACAGTAACCCAACTCATGAGAAAACATTTGGTCCTAAAAGTCAAATTCAAACATTAAATACTTTAAAACAGTAACTTTTCATTGGTTGGAAAGAAAAACAAACAGCCTTTCCTTTATATGGGATATATATCACTTAAAATCATCAGTCTCTTAAAAAATCCCCTTGTGTTTCTGTCATTTATGTTGTATCCTCTGGGAAGTTCTTATAAAAATGACCTGTTGAATCTGAAAACAACAGGTCCTTCTTTTTAGCACAAAGGCAGCTCTGTTTTTTCCATCAAGGACACAAGAAAGAAGTGATTAAAGACCCCTAAAACTCTTATCTGTAGCAGTTCCCAATGAATTCGGCCTCGTACAGTGTATAAGTGAATGCATTGCAAGCTGACTGCCCCGAATATCTAAGACAGTGTTTGGCTCTGGGGTGCTATACTATATGGTCAAATGTATAGTACTAAAACTATTTAAATTTTACCTTTTTGACTTTATTTCCACAAAGTAGGATTGTTTCTTCATATTCCAGAAATGAGTGTTTGAGGGCCCAGTATACGGTATGTAGAGACCTGGAGACCTGGATCTTATTTTCTGTGGGACTTTCTGAGCTTGTGAGAGAGAAGGAAGGCTTCAAGGTAACTAGAAACACAAGTATTGGGAGAGAGAGCGAGAGAGAAGGGGGAAAGTCATAAACATTTAGAGCACTCTCTATTTGGAAATGGGATGCACGTTGTAAAGTAAATCTTTCTTTGGATTGTTTACTCCAGCAGAGGAGTTCTATAAAGCAATTTATGGTGGTTACAAAAATAACTGCACAGTAGACTTCATGGTTTGGTGAATTTAATTTTCCAAGTGTTGGAGCAATGTCTTTGTTTTGCCATTTGCAATGGGTTTTTATTGGATGCATAAATTTAAGTTTAACTCAATTACATAGGAAACTCATTACAAAAAAAAATCCAAAGCTGTGGAGCCTGGATTATGTGATTATTTAATGAAATTTTGCCACAATTCCCTTTCATTTGGCCCTGAAGTTAGAGTTTGATGTTTGTGAGAAAGACTGAAGACTTCACCTTGAAAAATAAATCTCCCACACAGAATGCCACTTAACTATTAAGCGCGTTTTAATTTTTTTGTTTATTGATTTTTAGAGAGAGGGGGTGGAGGGAGAGAGAGAAACTTAACTTGTTGTTCTACTAATATCGATGTATTCATTGGTTGCTTCTTGTATGTGCCCTGACCAGCCATGGAACCTGCAACCCTGGCATATCCGGTGGACACTCTAACCAACTACCCTGCCAGGGGTTAGCTGTTAAGTGCATTTCAGCTGCTTGTATTTAGCCAGTATTTTAGAATAAGGGGTCCAGTTAGACTTTCTTGAGTTAGACCAAAATTTGTAATATAGCACTTCTAATCCACACTGATGACCACTTGTGTGTGCACACACACACACAAACAGGAAGTCCTAGTATTTGCACCCTGATGTGAATTGTGGAAGAGAAAAATCTGTATAATAGCTTTTAGATGCTCAATGAATGATATGGGAGAATCATTCATACATGTCTAGCCCTGTTTTCTGCCCATAATAGTTTGTTGTGGCAGTGCCCCCTACTGTCCAGACAAAGGGAGCAATTTGTTGCTGTTAGGAAGTTGGAGAGAATCCCTTGGGGAATGAGTTTGAGGGTTAGAAGTGCCTTGCTGGGACATTTCAATATATTTAGCATGCTGGGGGAAAATAAGGTGCTTTATAAACTGCATCCCAAGAAGAGTGTAACCAACTGTTTCTTTGAACAAATTGGTAATGAAGGCAAAGAAAACTTATTTAAGAAGGATTTCTTCTAATTAATTTAAAATGTCCTAACATTATTCTAAAATAAATGAAACAAAAGCAAATTTTCACGTTCTAGGAGATTTGTCAATGATAACTCAGGCTGCTTCAGTGTAGTTTTCTGGATATGAAACCACACCGATGAGTTTAAAATAGCAGACATGATATCAGTACAACAAATGTCTGTGGCTTGCACGTCCCGGGAAAGCAATCCTTTGCAATGAATAGTCTCCATTTCCGTTGTCCGTGTGGTGGGCTCATAAAGCAGAGCAGGGAGTTGCTTCATTGGCTTCTAGGCATTCAGATCTTTTCTGGAAGTCACGACCACATGCCTCTATGGGGTTCGAGAGCAGGTGAGCTTAGGATTGCATAGGAGGGCCTCCGGAAGACAAGGCATACCTACTCATGAAGGATTTAAAGATGCGTGTATTTGTGTATATGGGTGTGTCTCTCTCTCTATGAATATATATACACACACGTTTATATGTGTGTGCGCACAGAAATGTTTGGTTTCTCTAGCACTTTAGTTTCATATTTTAGGACAGGATAGTATTTATCATCCCGTCGTTTATGCTGGCACATCTATTTCCTACGTTTTGATTTGCTTTCTTTGGTGAGACTGGACAGTTTCAGTGGAGATCGGTATCACCTAAATCGTTTCACTCCGCAGCGTTCAGGAAGATCAAAGATTGCTTCCTTGGTATTTGGGAGTCGGTTCTCCCCCGACCGAAGTTTTGTGGCTTTCCCCGATTACCGTGTTTTTTTTCAAGTCCAGGGAGGGACAGGCTGAGCGGAGGAGCTTCGGTTCCTCTCGGGCAGTCGGCGTTTGGCAGCAGCTGGGAGCAGCTGCAGAGGACCTCCGTGTGCAGTTCCCACCCTCCTGAGCCGCAGGCCCTTCTGCGCGGAGGCTTGGAAACGAAATGTGAGCCAAGGGAGCTGCAGGGCTGGCCACCCGGGCTCGGTCACATGGCTGAAGTCCGAAGCGGTCTCTCTGTCCCTAAGGCCGAGTTAAGAACATGGGGAGGGGGCTAGGGTAGGAGGAAGCAGGACGAAGTTGCTCTCGACCCTGAGTCTAGGGCACATGTCTAAGGGGGGGAGGGTACAGTTTCTCTCCTACATACAGTCCCCGGAGCTCTCGGTGGTGGCCACCTCCGTCCCTGAGAGGTGGCACACTGGCTGGTGGAGAAGCCACAGTGCTGCCACTTGTTTGCTGAGCGTCGGCCCTGGGCACCTCCTCCCGGCAGACTGCCCAGCAAACAAGTCAGATAGCCTCGTTCTGTGAGTCTGTGGGTTGCATCCCCACACGCACTTGGGGCAAGACCAGACACCTCCAGGAGGGGGAAGGGGTGGGACTGGTCACAGGAAAGTTATGAAGTGGTTAGAAACGTCTGAACAATATCAGTTACCCCGCTATGGGACAGACTGTGGGGATGCTGAGGCCAGGCCCTAAAAGCAATAACAGCAACGAAGCCACATTCAGCTTGGTCCTGGAATACCTCGTGTGAGCAAATATTTCTGCATAACAACGCGATTGATGATGTGCTGTTATGTTTCCTGTCAAATGCGTAGCCACCTATGAGTGAAAATCCTCCACAATATTAACATCTTCTGCCTTCCCCTTCAAAGGAGAACACTCTGGCAAAATAGTTGCCTCGTATACATGTGTTGGTTGGTCAGGAAATATGTGTCAAATCGGTATTTTTGGAGGGGTCGTGGGAACGCCCAGAGCCGGTGCAGTTAGTGACGGCGGATGCTCCATCCTGCGGAGGGAGTCAGACAAGCAGGCCGCCAGGTGTAAACCACAGTGCGCCTCGCATCTCCAAGGGGCGGATTTGAACAATCGCAAACTGCAGTTACCACCAGTCCAAGGCCGGGACAAGTTGGGAATTTTATATACTTAGCACATTTCCTTAGGGGG